AAGGATGACTTATCAGAACACCCTGAAACTTTTGTCCATGGCAGAAGGGATTGTCCCCAACTTCAAATGTGAGAAGAAGAAAAGTAAGATAGCTTTTATTGGGGGACTTGACTCTGACATCTCCCTCCACATGGCTACTGTCTTAAGCATCTACAAGATTCCACAGGTATAGTAAGTGTGGGGGCTGTGAAGCTCTTCTGCCTCTGGTACAATAGTTATCTTCCTGGTTTTCAATACTTCCTTTTGTTTTGCTTCATTTTTCTGAGCAAGGAGGTGGGGAAAAAATTACAAAACCATTACAAAAGCACCACGGGGGAGCTATGCAGTAGTGGCTGAAGGAGACGGGCTTTGGTGCCTTGCCTGACTTTGGTACCCCATGTGTCACTGGGAACGCAGCAGGGGGTTGGAACTTGGGCAAATTCAGCAGCAGGAGTCTTCCTCCTGCTCCAGGAAGCTGCACAACACCCAGTTTGCAAGAGGTCAGAGAAACTTGCTCCTCCTCCCCCCAACACTCGCTGAAGATATGCGCAATGTCTTGTGACATCAAACATGCATCCATAAATGGAGTCGAGATAATTCTCTCGGGTTTTGTTCTTTCAAGCCAGAACTTGGGGATGAGCCCATAGACCGTTTGCTCTAACTCTCCAATTCTTGTGGGATTGATTTCTTCCTCCAGATTGCTTACTGTGTATTAGCTCCAGTGAGAAGCCCAGAGTTGCAGCCCCAGACCTTCTACCGAACGGTGCCCAATGAGAAATATCAATATGCAGGGATTGTCATGCTACTTCTACATTTCCAGTGGACATGGGTAGGAATTGTGGCATCCGATGATGAAAACGGAGAGAGCTTTATGCAAAGCTTAGTGCCAATGCTTTCCCGGCATGGCGTCTGTACAGCTTTCGATGAAAAACTACCAGCCGTATCTCAGGGCATAGTTGATATCAGTTTCTTGGAACTCATTCGGGCCAAGTCCTCATTCCTGATGGCCTCAGAAGTTAACATATTAGTTCTGTGTGCAGAACCTGAGACCATTACAGTTGTGAAATGGATGCAATATTTCTATTCAGTAGCTGAAGATGTTGCAGAGAATTCTACAGGCACCGTGTGGATTTTGACAGCCCAGTGGGCTTTCTCTTCAGAAACAATGCAAAGGTATTACGATATACAAGTCTTTGATGGTGCCTTGTCTTTTGCAATTCACACAGAGAAAGTCCAGGGATTTAAAGACTTCCTTCAGACCCTGAACCCCAACTCTCCAAAGGGAGATGGGTTCCTCCAGGCTTTTTGGCAACGGGCATTCAATTGTTTATTTTCTGCTTCCAATGAGAGCAATGAAAACACAAAGACCTGCACTGGCCATGAGAGTCTGGAGAGCCTTCCTGGGCATATCTTTGAAATGACCATGACTGGCCAAAGTTACAGTATCTATAATGCAGTTTATGCCATTGCACATACTTTACATCAGATGCACTCATCCAGGTCAAAACGCAGAATGATGGCAGGCAGAGGTGGGCTTGATCCTCCAAAACTGCAACCTTGGCAGGTAAGATTTCCTGTTCAGAACAAAGATTGCTTGGGGCTAATCTAATGGGCTATGTCACACAGTCCATTGAATGAATACACACAAACACAGAGACATAGACTGCTTACAGCTTTTACCTTTCCTCTACAACAATCCCCACATTCTTTTCAATGCTTAACTGTTTCCCCTTTCCTTCAAGCTGAAGGAGCCACAATCAAGATAGGACCTGTACTTCCCTTCCATTTGCAGGAGTAGTAGCAGGAGTTATGGCACTCTGTGCCCTTTCTCTGCCTCTCTGGGAACATGGGCTGTCAAGATGTGGAAGCATCTCTTGGATGGGGAAAAGTAAATAAACAAGCAAACAAACAAAAGAGGGAGAGCAGGGAAAACCCACCAGGAGCTTCTCTCCATTTCTTTGCCCCCTTCTCCCTGCACACCCACCTTGTAGGAGGGGCAGTTCCAGGGCTTCCTGACATGGCACCATTTTGCCTTTGCACACGGACACCAGAGCTGAACCCTCAGGCAAGGGGCAGGCCAGATGTACTTCCTAGAAATACTTATGTTCTCCAAATGTTGTAGACTGCATAGTTTTGGACTACTTTGCATTGTGTGAAATATGTGGATGGATAATTTCTCCTTTCTATAATCCATAAAAGCTCTCCTTTTTTAAACTTTGCCTTTGTTTTCTTCTGTCTAGCTGCACTCGTTCTTGAGGAGTATCTCCTTCAACAACAGTGCTGGTGACTTAGTGTCCTTTGATGAGAAGGGGGAATTAGCAGGTGGATTTGATATTATTAACTGGGTTACTTTTCCAAACCAAACCTTCTCCCATGTGAAAGTAGGAAAGATAGTTCCACAAGATTCACAAAATGTAGACTTCAGCATGGATGAGGAAGCCATCACATGGCACAGCTTTTTTAATCAGGTGGGACCATTGGATTTTAAAAAATTAGGTATTGTTATTATGAATACAAATTATGTTCTGTATGCGGCAATGACAATAAAGACTATCATATCGCATAAGGTTAATGTAGACATTCTTTATCATTAATAAGCAATTGTATAGGTATAATCCACAAGAATCGCAATATGTAGACTTCAGCATGGATAAGGATGCCATCACATGGCAAAGATCTTTTAATCAGGTGGGACTATTGCTTTTAATAAGATGAGGTATTTCTATTAAAAATACAAAAAATGTTAATGTAGACATTCTTTGGGACGTGGGTGGCACTATGGATTAAACCATAGAGAGCCTCTCCTCCTTCCGGAGGGTAGGTGTTGTGATCGGGACCCGCTCCCGGGCTTGCAGGGGGCGTGTCGCCCCCTGCCCGATGTCACTGCTGACACGACACACCCCCGGTCAGTCTTCCAATCGGCGGGAAGCCCAGGGGTGGGGTTTAGCTGCTCAAATGCGGCCGCGGCAGCTCTCCCCTCCAATTGCTCTGCCGGTTTTCATCAAGTCATCCACCCACCCTTCCCTCTAGTTAGTCCGTTACGCTTGACCTTGCTATGGACCTTTGGTTGGTCGCCTTGGTTGCCCAAAGGTAGGAGTTTTTTCCCAAATGGAAATTGGCACCGGCCTCTTGGTTTTTTCGCCTACCTCGTAGCAATTCGTCACAATTTTTTGGTATTGGCGGTTAGGCATTGGAATGTGCTGTTGGTGTATGGAAGGGCAGGGTGTGGCCATCGCCTAACCCTTCACTTATGGGTATTCCGTTAAAGGAATCCGGCAGTCGTGGAACTTGTCCGATGCCCTACTGGTTTCTGGGGCCATGGCATGACCCCTGGTGACATCAGGGGAGAGCTTATAGTTGCATTTGCATCAACAGGCTCCCCCTACTGGTGGTTAACCCTTGCTAGACTCACCCCTCTCCGAGTGGGTGGAGTCAAACTTTGCTGTTCTCTCCAATGCCTAAGCCAATACCTCTCACATGCTGTAATCAATAAAGTTGTGGCCTTTTCTAGCCCATTAGCCTAAAATACTGTGTCCATGTGTCTTTCTTATTCCCAAGCGAAGGGGGCGGGTCCTCGAATCACAACCTAGGACTTGTGGATCAGAAGGTCGGCGGTTCAAAACTATCCTCCATCTTTATGCAGATTAAAAATTCAATATCCCTTCTCATTCACTCCCAATATTTTCATTACAATATATTTACGCATACAACACACCTTTCTGGAATAATGTCAACCAGTCAGCTGATCTCTTCTCTTTGGTTAAAACTGTGTTGTTTACAAGGCACAAGAGAGCTACATTTTCTCCTCTTTTTATGGCTAGGTGCTGCCCCTTGCCTTGTGTAATGATCACTGCCAGCCAGGCGACAGCAGAAAAAAGAAGGAGGGGCTGCCATTTTGTTGCTATGATTGTGCTTCGTGTCCACATGGGATGATTTCAAATCAAACGGGTAGGAGACATCTTCTGCTATTATAAAAAAATATTTCTAATATCTATTTCAGCTTTTACCAATGAATCTGGTATTACTATTTTGCATTGTACAACTTACAGTTGTGACCAGCTCTAGCTAAGGGCACAACCAAAGCCAATATTTCTGATCACTAATTCCAGATGAAGGACAGAGTAAATGAACAATCTATGCAGCTAAGGCCTATGAAAGCGTAGAGCCTATGGTGGATTATGCATAATGGCAGGAGATTTTATAAACTGTTGTTACCATCCACTTAGCTCTGACATCATCTGCTATTTTGTATAATGCTTCCTAATATCTATTTCAACTCTTTCCCTCTATTAGCAGTTCAGTACTCCTAAACAGAAGAGCAGCTGCACTGATATCTGGAAGAAAAAAAGAGATAGTTGGGGAAACTAGATCCAGAACTTTTACAAGTGAGATCTGAGGAAATAGTTGTGGAATATGTCTGCTGTTATCTGCCTCTTCCCACATGCTACATTGTAGGAATGGATAGTTTTAGATGTGTGAGCCAGAAAAAAGCATGAAATGATCTCCTTACCCAGAACTGTCCTCAGCCCAGCCTCTGAGTCCAAAGTGGCTGTTCTCAAGAAGCCTCCATCACCATGAAGATCTCTCTGGGTGTGACCAACTCAACTAAGGGCACAACCAAAGGCCATGTTTCTGATCACTAACTCCAGATGAAGGACTGAGTAGATGAAAAACCCATGCACCTTAGGCCCATCAAAATGTAGAGCCTATTGCAGATTAAGCATAATGAAAGGAGATTGTACAAACAGTTTTCAATATTCACTTATCTCTGATACATATTCCAACTAATTAATGTCTTATTTGTTGGAACTCATATATCACTCATTTCATTTTAAATTTTTTTCAGATATGGATGATTGTTTCCAATGCCAAGATGACCAATTTCCAAACAAGGACAGAGATCAATGCCTCCCCAAACGCCAACATTTTCTTTCCTACGCAGAACCTTTAGGGTTCCTTTTAGCTTCCTTAGCTCTGGTCTTTTCTCTGGTCACAGCTTGGATACTTGGCGTCTTCTCTAGGAATGGGGACACTCCCATTGTCAAAGCCAACAACCGGGACCTCACCTACACTCTGCTCCTTGCCCTCTTGCTCTGCTTCCTCTGCTCCTTGCTCTTCATTGGCCAGCCTCACCCAGTGAGCTGCTCTTTACGACAAGCTGCTTTTGGCATCATCTTCTCCATTGCAGTGTCTTGTGTCTTGGCCAAAACCATCACGGTGGTTCTGGCTTTCATGGCCACCAAACCAGGATCCAGGATGAGGAAATGGGTGGGGAAATCTCTCACAAACTCGGTTCTTCTTGGTTGCTGCTCCGTTCAAACCGGCATTTGTGCTGCTTGGCTCTGTACGGCTCCTCCATTCCCAGATGTGGACATGAACTCTCTGATGGAGGAAATCATTGTGGAATGCAACGAAGGTTCTGTCGCGATGTTTTATTCTGTCCTGGGTTATCTGGGATTCCTGGCCATGGTCAGCTTCACTATGGCTTTCCTGGCCAAGAGGTTGCCGGACAGTTTCAACGAAGCCAAGTTCATCACCTTCAGCATGTTGGTGTTCTGCAGCGTTTGGCTGTCCTTTGTTCCCTCTTATCTGAGCACCAAAGGAAAGCAGATGGTGGCTGTGGAGGTCTTTTGCATCTTGGCCTCCAGCGCAGGCTTGCTGGGTTGTATCTTTGCCCCCAAATTGTACATCATTCTTCTGAGGCCTGACTTGAACAGCAAAGACCACTTAATTCTGAGGAGCAAATAGGAATGAACTTGTGTTCATTAATGCTTTTAATTTATGCATTGTTTGCTGGCATTTATTGGAAGAACACCAGACAAAGTCATTCCTTGTCTTTCTCAACTCTTATCCTTTTAACCTTTTTCATTCCCAGAAATAGCCTCCAACCTACATCTGTAATCAATAAAGCTGAGACCAGTTTTTAACCCCATAAAGTTGTTCTGTCACTTTGTTATCCTGTCAATACACTGATCTTCCATTCGTAGGGTGCTAAAGGTTTATCCCTTCATGGGGAGAGATCATCAGTGTGAAACATGTCACTTCTGCCAAGGCTATACTTTATATATTTAGGTTAAAGCTATATTGTATTTATTTATATGTAATCAGGAAAGGCTGCTGATCTCACGGTGTATTGTAGCTGTAAAAGCCTGTATAACATGGCAGAACATCACGGACAATTAAGATGCTGAATGACATTTGTTACCCACTGGTTCTCCTCTGCCTACAAATGAGACCCAGATTCTCTGAATTTATCTTCTCCACATAGAACATATACAGAGTGTCTGGACTGAAGAGCATTTCAGCTCTCAGGAGAACCTACAAAAGCCCGTGCAAAGGGCTTTACAAGTGCTGATGATGTTCTGATAGTTCAGGCTTGCAAAGCTGTGTTCATGAAGCCATGGAAACCCCAACAACCAGCTCTTGGGAGGCCTTGCATAGCTCCATATGCAGCACTGTGAGGCCCCAAAGATCAGCTGACTGCAGGGGCTTGCAGAGCACCATGTTTGCTGAGTTTCAGCCCCAAGGACCAGCTGATGGGGAAAATGGGTTCTCTGGTGTCTCTGTGATATCGGATGATGGAGAGGTTTGCTGCCCCATCCCCATGTCACCTATGGCCCACGGGGGATGTGGGAGATGAGGTTCCAGGTCACCTCTCAGATCAAGTGCCCCATAAGATCACAAGATCAACCATGTTGTTTACAATAAAGCTTTAGGCCTCAAAAATTGATGGAGGTCAATTTAGCTAAAAAAACCACAGCCTGCAATTTTTAGCACAAGAAAGTAGAATTAAAAGTATTCATGATATGAAGAATACTATAGCATACTATAGCATTTCCCCTTTCGACATAACTTGGTCAGAATTGATTGCTATAGTAGTGTTTTAAGCATTTTAAAACTCATAGAGAAAGATTCTAATATACCATGGTTCTTCTCCCATTTTATCCTCACAACAACACTCTGAGGGAGGTTAGGCTAAGAGGCTGTGATCTTCCCAAGGTCACCCAGTGAGCTTCATGGCTAAGTGGGGATTCGAACCCAGATCTCCCATGTCCAACACTCTAACCATTACATCAGACTGGCTCTCAACTGAAAATTATGGTCTGTCCATACGGTGTTTGTTAAACAGACTTGATTTAAAGGTTGTGCAAAGGTTCTTTTTACCTCTTTGAACATTTTGCTGCAAAACAGTTATTCTCTTATAATATATTTTCTTCTTATGTAGTTTTCTGGGTAACCTTTTTTCTCTCTTTTTGCTGAGTCTCCTTAAACTCTAATTGCTCTCCCTACTAAGGAGGACCAGCTGAGACTTTGGCTGTGATGTGATAAACATGCTTCCCACCCCTTAATCACTGAGAAGCTGATTAAGTCTCCTGTAATTATCAAAGTAATCATGATCATTTCTTTGACTCTCTGGGGAGTTCCAGTAGCTGCATGAAAACTACGAATCAAGAGTTGCAGATACTATTAATATCTCCTGTGATGTTCAGACTTTGGCCTTACACCAAGGGCTCTGTCAGACTGATCACTGATTCATTTCCCTGCAAAAATCTGGCTTCCATAACCATCCCAGTGAGACTTTGCTGCTCAGTATGACTCAGATGACAATGTGCAAAGAGATGAATTGTCGCCTAAAAAATTCCCTGCAGCATGGTAATATTTGCAGTCTTGGTATTTGTGCTGCTGCCTCAGACTGTGTGCAAGTTTCCTCTTGCTCCTACAATACTCTGTGCAGGATGGTACTTTCTATGATGTTAACATCAGTGCTGCTTCCTCCAGATGAGTGCAAGGCTGCTGTTGCTCCGTGTTCCATCAGTGACCCTCTTCCTATTCTTCACAAATATTTCCAGTCTGGAGATGTTGTTATTGCCGGCATTATGTCTCAAATCTATATAACTTCAAGCATAGCCTTCAATGAACGTCCTACACCTGAACTCTTTGATGACATTCTGTAAGTGTGTGTGTGTGTGTGTGTGTGTGTGTGTGTGTGTGTGTGTACTTAAAAACTGTATCATATATCTGTAATGAATATATTTCTGCATTTGACACATGATGAAGGTGATGGTCATAACACTAGTGGTCAAAATTGTGGAAAGCTTTAGGAAAAACTGTATTTCTAAGGTTTGATAGCTCATAAGAGCAGTATAACATTAGACTGAACATCTACAATATATCATTAGAAAGATAAGAGTATTTGCTCTGGAAGACAACATGATCTGTCCAATGAAGTTGATATTGAAGAATCATTGCTTCAGCACTGGTGATCTTTGCTTCTTCCTGTACACTGGCATTAGTTTGTGTGTCTTCCCAAGTGATGTGTAAAATTTTTCAGAGACACCCTTGAGGGAATATTTCAAGGAGTTGGAGATGGTGTTTATCAGCGGTCCATGTTTCAGAAGCATACAGTAAGGTTGGTAGTACGATAGCTTTGTAAACAAGCATTTTGGTTTCCCTGCAAATGTCCCAGTCCTCAGACAGTCTGCACTTCAACCAAGAGAAAGCTGCTGGATTTCGGTATCAAATGTTGGCCCTTCTGGAAAGGTAGGAGAAGTTATCAACACTTTCCAGCCTTACACCACTGAGTTGGATTTGTGGCACAGCAGACGGGTTGTTTTGTGCTTGTTGGTGCAGCACTTTGGTTTTTTGGATCTTGAGCGATAGGCCAAGCTTTTCATAATCTTCTACAGAGATATTTAGCATGGTTTTGAGGTCATACAGACATACTTTCTAAAATGTTTTCACAATATTGGCCACTAGTGTATGATGATTACTGCCGCTCTTTTCCTACCACGTATTTCGGGTGTTTATGAGACATGGGGGCAGATCTGATATCTCAAACCCACTTCTGCAGTGTGTGAGAACATATTTCCTTTTATATGGTAGGGTTATACCAGTGTTCAGTTTTTTAAAAAATGTTTGCAAGGCAGCATAAAAAGTAACATCCCCATTCACTTTTTTAAAGCTTTCCGCTCATTTACCATGGTGAGCGAAGGATTTCTTCTTTAATATTTGACTTTAATCAAAGCCAAGTGGTAATTCATTCAGAGTTAGAGGTGTTTTTATTATAAGCTTTTGGTAGCCAGACTTTTCTCCTCCCCCTCCTCCTCTGTAGAACAGAACTAGTAGCAAAAGGGCCAGCCCAGCTGTGAGGCAAATTGAAGCAGCTGCCTTGGGCCAGGGAATTCCTGCAGCTTCCATTGTACAGCTGCCACAGTGGTGTCTAGTAAGAACTCCTAAGATCAGAGTTTATCGCCAGAAGACACCACCACTGTGCAGCCCCAGGAGGCCAGGCATTGGTGGGGGTGGGGTGGGGGTAGGGGGTCAAGTGGGGCAGAGGCACCTCCCTGTGAGATGTGGCCTCATGTCCATGTATCTGGACAGGGATAATTGTATTTAGCAGGACTGAAAGCCATGCTAGGAGTTAGATGTTCAAGGAAGCAAAACATCCAGGTTCGTGTTTCAATATATCCACACATTTTGGTGAATGTGAACTGTTACGCACTATGTCGCTCTCCATACAGGCCAGTGACACAACTCTACCAGCATATCCTGGCTTTGGCATTTGCTGTAAAAGAGATAAATGAAGATCCCCAAATCTTGCCCAATATCTCTCTGGGTTTCCACATCTACAACAGCCATTTCAGTGCAAGCTGGACCTACCAAGCCTCCATGGAACTTCTCTCTAGCCAAGAAAGACTCCTCCCCAACTACAAGTGTGATGTTCAGGAGACTCCAAAGGTGGCCATTGGGGGGCCAAACTCCGATTTATGTCTCTACATGTCAACCATCCTGTCTACGTACAAGATGCCCAGAGTAAGAGGTCTGAATGGAACATGGGTCATCATGAAAGCCATTGACAGTTGCCCTTCACTAAGTCTCATTGGGTTGTATGCTGCTAATTGAAGAACAAAATATCAAGGGAATGGCAAATAGTGGGTATAGGTTGGTATTTTTCAATCAAAAATTTAGGTTGTGGAAAATGTGTCTGCTTCAGTTCTACACCTCCTTAAAAACTCAGGTGAAAGAATTCTTCACTGAATTCCTCACTTTACTCCTGTGCAGGACTGTAACAAAATATCTGCTGCTTGTGGTAGCACAACTGTATGTTTGCTGTGCCGGCTAAAAAATTACTTATATATTTCCCAAGATAACTTTAACATTCCAAATCAACAGAAATAAGTGATATTTGAATCCTGCTGAAGTAGATCCCCCTCTGCAAAACCATAGGTTATCTAGCATGTGTGAGGTAAAGGTCAACTTCAGGCAGAAGCTGAACGAATAAGAAAGAGTTATTTTGCAGAATAAAGTTACTAAAAACAAAAGACATATCAGCAAATAAAATTACTTCAAGAAACAGTTAACTATTTAATTATTGCATTAAATTTAGTTGATGTTACAGGCTTCAGAACAAGGTGGTAAACATGTATCTTCTTTTTAATGTCATTTGCTTCTTTTCAGCTTGATGTTACAATTGGTAAACAATCAGCTCATTTCCATTTTCATTACTTCAGTTTCTTAAACTTCATTGCATAGGTGTTACAGTTTCAGACTTTGGTTCTTATACAAGATAGTATTTCTGTCAGTTTCCCCACCTTCTATCAGTCCCACTCCTGAGCTTCTCCAAATAGCACAACAGCCTCAGGGGATCACCCCAGCCCTCTTCTCTTTCTAGGAGATCTCTCCCCTCCTGACTGGAAGGAGACCCAAGCAGACGGGATCCTGCAGAGGGTTGAGGGGGCCCATGTGCAGTGCAGCATGACATCATGACATCATGCACATGATGTCACACGGCACCCTGACGTCATGCGTGTGATGCCCCGAGGAGCTGGATGCCCCTTGAATATTGAGGGGGCTCAGCCCCCCCCCCAAAGTACATTGGTGGGGAGGAAACTTCCTAGGTCCCTAGGAGTTGGTGCGCCTGGTATCCTCACAACTCTACTTCTCCTTCCTCAAACTTAGCCCTCCAGTTAACTCTTGACTGAAAACTCTTACAGTACTCCACACACTGTTGTGCTATCTAAGCTCAGGGGCTCCTTTCTCTAACTATAGACATTTTCCTCAGGGTGGATTTTTCACCCCACTCCCAAACTACTGGATCCACTCCCATGCTTACTGGCTGTCTTGGTAGCCATTTACCTGTTATTTCCTTATCCTCCTTTAGATATGAAAGACACCAAATTCTACCATCAACATAACTGCATAGTTGTTCTATTTGATGAAAAGACATTAATCTCCAAGTATTTCCTGAAAGAGCAGATTCTAAATTAAGAGAAATTCATTGGTACCTGGGGTTACGAACTTAATTCTTTCCGGAGTTCCATTCTTAATCCAAAACTGTTCTTAACCTGAGGGGCGCTTTCGCTAATGGGGCCTTCCACTGCGCACGAGCCTCTGGCTCGCAACTTCCGCTTGCATCCGGGGGGGGAGTTCATTACCCAAGGTACTATTTCCGGGTTAGCCAAGTTTGTAACCCAAAGCGTTTGAAACCCGAGGTACCTCTGTAAACAAAAAGTTGAATCCCCCTGGTTAATATATTGAAATCTGGTTTTGGTGGTTTGAGATCATCATTTGTTATCACCTTTCCTCCCTTGATTTTAACAATGACCCTCTTCAGCTCATCTATGGCTCTTCTCCTGTGACGAATGATGACATGCAAGCCCCTTTCACCCACTGGATATTCCCAGATGGGGCTCAGCAATACGAGGGAATCCTCCAGTTACTGCTGCATTTCTGTTGGGTGTGGATCGGTGTGCTTTTTGTCCACGGTGACCCTGGAGAGAGATTTGTACAAAATGTTCTCCCCATGTTTGCCCAGAAGGGCATCTGCTTTGATTTTATAGAAAGTTTCCCTAGGTTTACCTCTTCTGGAGAGTTTGATGAAATGGTGGAAGAAGGTTCGAAAACAATCAGCATTATTGTGGGAAGCACTGCCAATGTTGTAGTTGTGCATGGTGAAATTGAAACAATTATGGTAATGAGAACGATACCCAAACTTGCAGAAACAAATGATGTGCCAATACAAGGAAATACAAAAGTCTGGATTATGACAGCCCAGATGGATTTCACATCATTACCCATTCAAAGAGGTTGGGACATCACATTCTTCCATGGGGCTCTATCCTTTGCAGTTCACTCTAAGGATCTTTCAGGGTTCCAGAAATTTATTCAGATGAGAAACCCTACCTTGGAAAAAGAAGATGGCTTTCTCAGGGTTTTCTGGGAAGAGGCATTTAATTGTGGTTTCCCTGACCCTGCTTCAGAGAAGAAAGATGGCAAATTCTGCACTGGGGAGGAGAATATTGAGAGCCTTCCTGGGTCTGTTTTTGAAACGAGCATGATAGCCCACAGCTACAGCATCTACAATGCAATCTATATTTTGGCACATGCTTTGCACACCATGCAGTCCACCAAATTAAATTGTAGAGCAATGGCAGGTGGAGCAAGGTGGGAATTTACAGATCAACAGCCGTGGCAGGTAATGTTGTCTTCCAGTTAATACAGATATCTGTAATCAACTCCGGAGCTCAGCCAAAGGGGGGACATTTCTTGAATACCTCTGTCAGTAGGGGAAACTCATTGCGTGTCAAGGCCCTGAGCCCTCGCCCAGTTGTTGAATAATAAAACACATGGACACCAGTGTTTTAGATTAATTGGTGAATTAAGGCCACAACAAGTGCCTGAAAAGAGGGAGATCCGAGGAAACAGGAAACCAAGAAGGTGATCCCCAGCCACACAGCCACTTAAATGCAGCAAGTCATGCCCCACGGCTGACTGGATTGGTCGCCAGGTGTGACGCGGCCGGGACTCCACTACGACGTGGGGGTAGTGGCTTTCCCCTTTCCTCTCAGGGAGGAAATGACTATCCATTAATGGTTAGGATAACATAGTAGATGAAGTTACAGGTAGGTAGCCGTGTTGGTCTGCCATAGTCAAAATAAAAAAATTCCTTCCAGTAGCACCTTAAAGACCAACTAAGTTAGTTCTTGGTATGAGCTTTCGTGTGCATGCACACTTCTTCAGATACACTGAAACAGAAGTTGCCAGATCCTTATATAGAAGGATCTGGCAACTTCTGTTTCAGTGTATCTGAAGAAGTGTGCATGCACACGAAAGCTCATACCAAGAACTAACTTAGTTGGTCTTTAAGGTGCTACTGGAAGGAATTTTTTTTTATAATAGATGAAATTCTGCCATCACTTTAAAGTGGATTCAGTTGTCCTTGGAATAGCAAAATATGGCAATAGATGGCTAGGTACAGGACATCATGCTATCGCTATTGGTACAAAGGCAGTGCTGACTTCCGGGTTAGCGCGATCGGCAAATGGCGGATTCCCTCCGAGCTCCGGAGGGAATCGGCTTGACAGGGGCCGGGTCTTGCTGTGCCGGCGACACGGGGACCCTTAAAAACCACGGGCGCGGAGCCCCGTGGACATGGTGACTCGGCGGGCACCATTAGCACCCTCCCGACCCGTGAAGGAGCCTTTTTAAAGGCTACGGAACGGGTGCCGGGGAGCGGCGTGGTGCTGTGAGTCTTCTGCTTCCCCTGCCGAGCGAAGCCGCATGCCATTTGTCGGAGAGCGCTGACTTCTTCCTTCTAAAATTTGGACTTAAAATCAAGAACAACAACCCGTGAGTAATTTGGAAATTGGATTAAGAATATTTCATTTGCGGATTTGGTACTAGCGGGGGAGGTGAAAAAAAAAAGGAAGTCCGTCTCCTCCCCATTGTAAACAGTTTAAAGCAAGGATCTGTCAACTAATGTTGCGAGAAGAGCGGGTTTTTTTTTCTTTGTGATTGGCAAAAGATATAAATTCCACGGATTTAAAAGTTTAAATTAATGTGCTGGAGGACAAGACTTTATTTGTTTGGATTAAGTACCACTTTTCTCAAGCCCAGGAGTAACCCGTGAAAGAGCCTGCTGAGGATTTACAGAAAACTTTTGACAGCTGTCAAATTAGCTGTCAAAGTCGGGAAAAACTGAAAGCCTAAATTTTAACCGGCTATATTGCTACAAAATATTGAAAGTAAAGAAAGATTGATACAAATAAATATGACTTTTGGATCGGAAGTGAAAGGAATACTAAGTAACCAGAATCCCTCTAGAGGGGATTCTCGGACATTATAAGAATGGAACTAGGTCGGGAAATACGAGCTGACTTGCAAGAGCTTATCTTTCTCATGGGAAAGCTGCGAGAGATGTTTGAGCAAGGCCATGTTTTGTCTACAAGTCCTATAAAACCGAAGCTAACAGAAAATATATCTACTGAGTTGGAAAGGGACTTGATGTTCAAAACACAGGCAGCTGGACAAGAAAAGAAACCAAAGATTGAAGAGGAGGAAAAGACATTTGCTGAACAGGAGGAGCAGAAAGAAGGGGTGGCCGAAATGTTACAGAAGACAAATGAGAGCCGGAGACCTGTCAAGATGAATTCTAGTTCGACCAAGGTGAAAGCTGGACTATTTGGGACATATAGACTTAAGAAACAGAGCTGGAGCTCCACCTTTAAACAAGTAGGCCTGGCTGGAAGAAACATGGTCAGTATTGAGAAGGTACCTCTTCGAGTTTGGGTGTTAAGCATAAGAGACTTCCAAAGAAGCCGGCTGAAAGGGACTGAGAGAGATTTGAGAGCCTCGGACGTAAGGTCACCACTCGATGGCCCTTGTGGTCTCTTCCAACTCTATGATATGATTCTAAAAAGATGGACTGATTGGACTTTGGTTTGGGGTTTAAACCAGGGAAAGAAGGGTGGGGTTTAGAAGTCCAAAAGGGGCCTGATTTTTATTTTGTAGTGTAAAAATTTTATGTTCTTTATTATTACAAGAATAGGGAATCCGTGGATGGGAACTAGAGACAACCTTAGGAAAGGTATCTTTTTCTCTTGCTTCTTTATCTCTTTTTTTTCTTTTTTTTCTTATACATGATTAAGGTATATATTTTTAAAGTTGCTGAATAAACTGAACTAAGCATAATAATGAACTGAGGGTTAAACCTATTACAAAGAAGTATATTAACAAATTATGGCTAAGTAAATTAACAAATTACGGTTAAGACACTAAGGATAAAAACTTGTTTGAACAAATAATTGGAGCTGGAATACAAGAAGGGGAGGCGTGGGGAAGTCATGAAAAGAAGTTATTGAAAATGAGACTTAAAAGGTAGAACTTTTTTGTTGTTTTTTGTGTTTTTTGTGTTTTTCTGTTTTGTTTTTTGTACCTTTTGAAACTTTAATAAAGATTATTTAAAAAAAAAAAGGCAGTGCTGTTTTCCTGGAAACATTCCAGGAAAGTGATGAACAGCTTATCTACACAGCTTATCCTCCTATCTCGGGGATTGGCAAGGTTTATCGGCCATGGGACTGGCACAGCGCGATGCCGGAAATCTTGTCTGCGCATGTCCATGGTGCCAGAAACCGCTTCTGCACATGCCCAGATGCCGAAAATTATGCCTGCGCAGAAGCAATTTTCAGAGTCTGGACATGCGCAGACGCAATTTCCGGTATCTGCGCGTGCGCAGACACGATTTCCGGCACCGCTCAGTGAGTCCCCACACCATGCTGTCCTGTTTTAGCGCAGCGCACAGGGGACTCACCAAGAGGGCGGCTTAGTTCAGGGGCAGTTCGTGGGCTGGTAAAACAGTCTTCATGGGCCGCACATTGCCAACCCCTGACCTATCTAAAGGAACGTCCTGTCTAATATTTGTGGTCTAAGTTCTATGAAATTTAGGTCAAGACTTACTATAATTCTTAAAAGAACCACATCTTACCTCCACAATAAACATTACTGCAATTGAAATTATCCTTCCCAAACATTTAAATGAATATTGTGTTCCACAATGTTGCTCTTTTGTATCTGCTCATGAGCAGGACTTTTTTCAGCCAGAACTCGCTGGAACTCAGTTCTCTCCCCTCTCAGGGGGCGCCATTGCCATTCCAAGGGAACGAGGGAGGTGTTTGTGGTGAGTTCCAACACCTCTTTTTCTAGAAAGCAGCACTGCTCATTAATTCCTTTTTCCTTTTTAGCTCCATCCATTTTTGAAGAAGAACCTCATTAAAAACAGAGAAATAAAGACACTAGCATATATCTTTTAAAGAGACCATGAACTATACCTCTTAAATGCTAAAGATAAGCACTCTATTCGTACCAATATTTCTAATATTTAATCATTTTTGACATCTTCATTTATTGCTTTTTTTCCTCTTCAAACTTAGCTTCACCACTTTCTGGGAAGAGTTTCATTTAATAATAGTGTTGGAGAAGAAGTTTCCTTTGACCAAACTGCGAAATTAGTAGCTGGATTGGATGTAATAAATTGGGTCACATTCCCAAATCAGTCATTTCTGAGAGTCAAAGTTGGAACAATGGACCCACAAGCTCCCCCAGAAAAGAGGTTAACCATTCATGAGGATGGTATCATGTGGCCCAACTGGTTCAACCAGGTAAGAATTTATTAAAGGTTTCCAGTAGTTTTTTGCTCAGTGTCCCAAAACTGTATCATTGCAACACATTGAATCATCAATTATCAGAATCAGACTTAATCTGTGAAGGAAATATCAGGCTGTAGCACTGATAAAAGGAAAGCTATCTTATTTCTAGGTTTATTATCTATTCAATATGGCCAAAAGTAGAAAAACTTAATCTGGCTTGGAACCCACTGGTGAAGAAGACCCCTGCAGCCAGCAGGATTGGACCCTCTACTCAGGAGCTGGTGAATGGAGAGCTCAGTCCTGCTCAATTTCACTGCACTCATGTGTCCCCCTGCTTGGAGCAGACACACATATCCAAAGTGCAGTGTAGGGCTATTTGAAAGCTCTGCTGCAAAGAGCTCTGTGCTGCTCTTTGCAGTTGCTGCCTGCCTTTCCTTCAGAATCAGCCCGATTCAGTTTCAGATTTAACCGAATCTGTTCCACAGCCCTAATTTGTACCCCACAATTAATGCAGGCAGAGTCAAATCATTATTTAAACATTATCATTGGTTTGCAGCATTATGGTAAGCATACAAAACACTTTCCCTTACATTGGCTGCTGAGCTAAATGATTAACAGTGAAAGTTAAAAGGGGTTTCTTGAGTGTCACGTTGCTCTATGTTAGCCATATTTCTAAGTCAGGAGAATGGTCCAAGAAGATAAGACAAGAGATCAACGCCCTTCACAAAAAAGATACAAGTATACAAAACAAAAGCAAAGGTACTGAATGTTGCCAGAGAAACCATTGGAAGCAGAGTTTGAAAGTTCCAAGTTAAAGAAACAGTGGTTAGACTACCTGGACAGGGCAGAATTTCAATAATTTCTATTGCAACTGTGAGTCAAAAACACTTGAGCAATTTCTATATTCATGAGATAGTGACCCAATAAGCTTTCACCTGAACATTTTCTAATTTGAGACGATATTGCCATGTTAATCTCCGAAGACGTTTGAAAACATACCAATATGGTTTTCATAAAGGCAAAGGTACTGGAGTAATGGTAGAAATTCCAATGCTACAATTAGAGCAAGATTTAAAATCTATTGCTTAATTCTCATGTTTAATATTAGAAGATACGTCAGTGAGATGCAAACACCCAAACGATTTCCTTCTTTCATTTATGAACAGGCACAACCCACTTCTCTGTGTAATGAGAATTGTCATGTAGGTTATAGAAAGAACAAAAAGGAAGGAAAGCCATTCTGCTGCTATGATTGCCTTCCGTGTCCAGAAGGGAAGATCTCAAACAAGGAGGGTAAGGAATACATCACACGCTTTAATTTTCCCAGTGAAGCTCCTTTCTCTAGTGGGAAAACAGTATGGAAGTAGTTGAAATATACATTCTGGCATCTCTTAGATGCACTGTGCCAATTTGGGGAAAGACGACCTTTTTAAAAAATAAGATTTGGTTCTTCCTTTTTCATTTTCAGACATGAATGACTGTTTAGAATGCCCTGGAGATCAATATGCAAACAATGAACAGGATGGCTGCCTCCCCAAAGACAAAACATTCTTGTCTTATGGAGAACCGTTGGGGATCAGTTTGGCCACGTTGGCCCTCTTCTTTTCCTTCATCACAGCTTTGGCGCTTCAAATATTCACAAAGCACAGAGATACTCCGATAGTCAAAGCCAACAACCGCAACCTCACTTATATTCTCCTCCTTTTCCTCCTGCTCTCCTTCCTTTGTGCTCTGCTCTTCATTGGCCAGCCTCAGGAAGTCACCTGCCTCCTTCGACAAACTGCTTTTGGCATGATCTTCTCAGTGGCAATTTCTTGCATATTGGCCAAAACTGCCATTGTGGTTCTAGCTTTCATGGCCACCAAGCCAGGGTCCACCATGAGGAAGTGGCTGGGGAAACAACTGGCCAGCTCCATTGTTCTTTCCTGCTCCCTTATTCAAGCCACAATCTGTAGCATATGGCTGGCCACTTCTCCTCCTTTCCCAGATGTTGACATGCACTCAATGACTGAAGAAATAATACTAGAATGTAATGAAGGCTCCACTGTCATGTTTTATTGTGTCCTGGGATTCATGGGTTGGCTGGCCATGGTGAGCTTCACGGTGGCTTTCCTAGCTAGAAAGTTGCCTGACAGTTTCAATGAAGCCAAATTCATCACCTTCAGCATGTTGGTCTTTTGCAGTGTGTGGTTGTCCTTTGTTCCAACCTACTTGAGCACCAAGGGCAAATACATGGTGGCTGTGGAGATCTTCTCCATCTTGACCTCCAGTTTTGGGTTACTGGGCTGCATCTTTATCCCCAAATGCTATGTTATTTTACTGAGGCCTGAGCTGAACAGCAGGGAGCAGCTCATAAGAAGACAGTTTTAAATAATCCAGAAGTCTGAATCATGCTCGTAATTCTAGGTGTCTGTTATTGCTGTTTTATTTACATGTATGTAATTAGAAATCTGGGATACTCATGTCCCTAGAAATTAAAGAATCAACAAGTAAACAAATAATTCAAGAATTAACAAGTAAACAATAAAAAGATCCAGAGCAACCCCAAGGAGCTCCTTTGGGAGAAATTGTGAGGATACAATCGGGGAAGTCGTGAATTGCTTAATTATTTCCATCACTGCCACTGACAAAGTTCCGTACTGATTCTGTGGCAATGCTTTTGAGCACAAGTGCCCTGGGACATTATCCTGTCTGCAACAAAATGATATCAGTCAGTTAACCAGCTGTCTAACAGTTCCCTTATTTAACCCACATTTTACCAGCTTCCTCACATGAATATCGGGGGGGGGGGGAGAGACTTTGTCCAAAGCCTTACTGAAATCAAGATACACTATGTCCACAGCATTCCCCTGATCCACCAAGCGTGTAACTCCATCAAAAAAGGAAATGTGATTCATCTGACATATTTTTGAGAAATCCACGCTGGTTCTTAGAAGACTTTGGATCTGATATCCCGCTTCATCACCACCTGAAGGAGTCTCAAAGCGGCTAACATTCTCCTTTCCCTTCCTCCCCCACAACAAACACACTGTGAGGTCTTAGTAATCATAGCATCCTTTTGTAAGTGCTCACAGACTGTCTGTTGAATTATCTGTTCTAGGACCTTTCCTGGTATCGATGTCAAGCTCACGAGCCAGTAATTTTAAGAAAAACACTGGGGCCTAATTTAAATAGTGGAGTGTTTGGTATCAGGTGGGAGGGGCTTGTGTGTTCTGCTCCAGAATCAGCCCCTCCCTTCAGGGCTTTCCATTGAGTTTTAGTTAAGAGGGACCAACTTCTTCTTCTTCTTCTTCTTCTTCTTCTTCTTCTTCTTCTTCTTCTTCTTCTTCTTCTTCTTCTTCTTCCCCAGAGTTGCCTTATGTTGTTGTATTTAGTTTCCCTCATTATGTCATTTTGTGACAGTTTTCTTTATTATGATGAAAGCTTAGTTTACATTTATGGGAGCGACTTACTTTTTCTCAAAGAGAAATAAACTCTGCTGAGGATATTGAATATTTACAGATAAATTGTAAAACATCAGCAGGATTATTTTTATAACCTGCAGTTTTATAAGACTATATATTTACAGTAGATTATTAAATGAACAAGTTAAGTGAATTTGGATATGCAGAAGATATTAAAAAAATATGAAGGAACTGCAGAAAGAGAGGAGGGAAGTCCAATTTTGAAATGTTAAATTGATTGTAAAACTAATGAAATGTATAAAATTGAAAAATATAAATAAAAAGCCAAAAAAGGGGGGGAACTCTGCTGCGGAAAGATGTGGAATGTCTAAAACTTGGGTGAGTGAGGGGATATTCCCATTTTTCCAGGACTATTGATTTTGTTAATCACCGCCCACCTCCACAACAGTAGTTATGAGATGGGGGGGCTCACTAGGGGCAAAATGGCTGCAAGCCAATGATCTCATCCCCATCCTCCCTCTTGCAACATCCTGTTGGATGACATTCCCCCGTGAGATCTCACAAGGAGACAGGGAGGTCCAAGCGCATCTGCCCCATGGATCTCTACTTTGCCAAGTAAAGATGTCCCATGTGCGATGGGGCCCAGAGTGAGGTTTATGCCAAATGTGAATTACCTTTATGTGAACTTAACTCGTTCTTGGCAGAGGCAAGACACATTGCGCAAAATTCCACTGGCAACTAAGAGATAATAATAGCTGCAAAATCCAGGAAAATCACTTTCAGCAATCTTGTCATGCTAGTGGCAACTTCAAAGGCATAAACACATGATAATAATCACTATCATTGTCAAAATTGCTGCTTTCCCCTCTCTGATGCAATGGCACCCAGAGCCAGTCAGCAAGGGCAAGAATAAACATTTGAAAAGAGGTATAAAACTCTTGTGTTTGTCAGAATTGGATCTAGGAACAGGTAGGACTCAGACATCTTTTGTTATTACCGTAACTTTTTATTTATTAGGTTTGGCTTCCACCAGGTTATTCCACCATGATTTCTAACCAGAAATCGTGATACCATGATCATATTTGTGCCTCGTACTTTCTCTTCCTTGCTGACTTCCACACCACATATTATTCCTGTGGAAAACTTAACCTTATTCAGCAGTATGAAATCATAGAGATGCCCTGAAATGTATTGTCTGTTCATCTGGGCAAACAGATTGAGAATTCACATGGTTATAATTTTGGCATCTTTGCACACCAACAGAATGTTTTATCATGTCATTTAATTTTGAAAGGAAGAAAGCAACAACAGCATTGCAATTCATACTCTCTGTCAAAGGATAAAAGCATACTATTTGGAAACACTGATGAACAAGGAGCTATTATTAGGGTACCAGTGCATAGCTTCCCTAACCAGCTGTGCTGTATATTTTTGTAGCAACAATATCACCCACCATTCAATTGGGACTAGAGCAAAACTGATAGCAGTTGCATAGATTGTTACACTCAGAAACATGGCACTCCATCTTTGGAGGGACAGTTTTATGAACAGGATCATGCTGGTGGTAGCCTTCCTTCTTGTACTGCTGTGTCATACTGCATGCAACACACATTTTATTAATTTCAGCATGTTTGAGGATCCCCTCCCTATTCCTCATGGTTTTTATCAGTCCGGAGACCTTCTCATTGGTGAGATTGTTTCTCAAGTCTTATTCCACTCTAATACCCCATCATTCATGGAGCAGCCTTCACAAACGATGATTGACGATCCTTTGTAAGACACTCGTATTCTCTTCGTATTCCTCTTCTTCTTTTCTCCTCTCTCTCTCTCTCTCTCTCTCTCACACACACACACACACACACACATATGGTGCAGGTCATTAAGGAATGCTGTGCTTAATTTTAAGTGTAAGAAATGTGGGACTGCAATTGTTATACATCATATTTGATACAACTTGTAAGATTCCTTCAGAAGCCAATTGAAAATGAATGGTCCCTCTGTTTTCTTTTCCTCCTCTAGGAAAAAAACACTTGGTGGTTTATACCCCTACTCACTTTTACCACAGAACTCCTGGTGTTTTTAATTTTCAATTTCTTAGTGCCATAGTAAAGAGTAAAGATATAACATAGTAAAGAGTGGGTGGTGCTGTGGTCTAAACCACAGAGCCTCTTGGGTTTGCTGATCAGAAGGTTGGCAGTTCGAATCCCCATAACAGGGTGAGCTCCCGTTGCTCGGTCCCTGCTCCTGCCAACCTAGCAGTTCGAAAGCACGTCAAAGTGCAAGTAGATAAATAGGTACCACTCTGTCCAGAGGCGGCTTAGTCATGCTGGCCACATGACCTGGAAAAACTGTCTGTGGACAAATGCCAGCTCCCTTGGCCTATAGAGCGAGATGAGCGTGCAACCCCAGGATCATCCGCGACTGGACCTAACAGTTAGGGGTACCTTTACCTTTACTAAAGAGATAACACAATGTTTCTTTCTCCTCTTGTTTTCTGACATCTAATTTGCATATCTTTCTCTCCCAACCTGCAAAGAAACAAAGTTGGGTTTATTGCTGTAACTAGAGGCACACTGGAAAATGCACTAGAAAAGAACCCTTAATAAACCTGACTCTCTGAATGAGTATGTGTGAGATACATATTTACCTCTAAAGAAAATATTGTCCCTAACTTTCAAATGTTCATGTCTTCTTCCTACTTTCAAATGTTTAAGTGCCCTGGGAAAGTATTAGAAAAGCTTATGCTTGTATAAAATGGATTGATAGTACCGTCTATAATCCTGTGCAATTAAAAACTACACATCAATCTTGGAAGATGCAGCTGAGTGATGAGGAAGAGTGAAAATGTGTTTTTAATGTGATTGTTACTTTATTAAACAGCTTTAACTCTCCTTACAGTTCAGTCCCAAAGAATTATCAGCACATCCTGGCCTTAGCATTTGCTGTCAAGGAGATAAACGAGAATCCCAACATCTTATCCAATATTTCTCTAGGGTTCCACATCCTCAATAGCTATTATGCTGCCAGGATGACCTATAAGGCGACAATGAACCTGCTTTCCACACAACATAGGTTTGTCCCCAACTTCAAGTGTGACAACCAGAACAATCTGATAGCACTCATTGGAGGGTGTATCTCTGAAATCTCGGCCAACGTGGCCATCTTTTCAGCAATCCACAAGACTCCACAGGTAAGCTGGGTGAATGAGATTTCACAACTGTGGCACACTATCTGGATTTCAGAAAACTCTTTGATTGAAGTGTCCATGGCATTTTGGTTTATCCAATGGGTAACATGCAATTTAACCATATAGGCAGATGGATTCTGACCACATCAGAAAACTGCACTCAAAGAATGCTCATTGATGGTTCCCCATTAAAGTTGGAAGGGATTCAAACTGGGATGCTTCAGGGCTCTGTCTTGGGACTCTATGATTTGAAATAATTGTTAAACCCTTCCAATATGTATAGGTTTTATTTCAGCTCACCTATGGATCATTTTGGCCAGTGCACGGTGTCAAACTGCTGTTACCATTGTTGTACCAGATGGTCCCAAATGAATCCCACCAGCAAATGGGAGCTGTGTGGTTGCTTCAGCATTTTGGATGGACATGGGTTGGACTTGCTGCTGTGGATGATGACAAAGCAGACAGGTTTCTGCAGGCAATGGTGCCAATCCTCTCCCAAAATGGTATCTGTCATGCCCTCATAGTAAGAATACCAAAATGGAATTATGTGGACGAGATGATAGACTATGCTTTCCAACACTTGGAAAGTTATATTACTTTGTTTGAGAGAAAACCCAGTGTATTTTTTATTTATGGAGAACACCCGTGCTTTCAGGTATTGGTAACGATGCTGTTTGTAGCACCCTTAATTGGCATTTCACCTGTGGGTAAAGTGTGGATTGCTACATCCCACTGGGATTTTGCAGCACACTCCATACAGAAGAACTGGGATATGCAAAGCTTCCATGGTTCCATATCCTTCACCGTTCACTCAAATCAGCCATTAGGATTCCAAAGATTCATTCAAATGTTAAGACCTTCCTGGGCCAAAGGAGATGGCTTTATCCAAGACTTCTGGGAACAGGCATTTGACTGTTCATTAACTGTTTCTGAAGTGAGGGAGAAGGAGGAGGATAAAAAGAAAACCTGCACTGGGGAGGAGAAGCTGGAGAGCCTTCCTGGAATTCTGTTTGAAATGCACATGACTGGCCACAGCTACAGTGTTTACAATGCTGTCTATGCTGTGGCGCATGCTTTGAATGCCTTATACGAATCCAGCTCCAGGTGGAGAAGAACGGCAGGAAGAGAGAAATTGGTATTTCAAAATGTGCAACCATGGCAGGTAACTACAACCCAACACTTTTTCTTTTTAAAGCCAGCTAGCTGTAAATCATCAGTGAAAGGAACTGTCTGCTTGAATAATTCATTTAATCCAAAAATATTTGCGGCTGTATTTCTATTTCATTTTGGATCACGGTCATTCATATTATAAAATAGTGGCTGTTTAAAATTGAGACAAACAGAAGGATTAGAATGTCAGGTAGATAAAGTCACCAAAAATGAAGTTTGTTTGTTTTTTACAAAAAAGTATGATATAAGCCTTTGTGACACTCAATGAAATCATTTCAAGACTTCATATGCTTTTTCAATCTAGGTCCATCACTTTCTGAGTAACATCTTATTCAATAACACTGCAGGAGACACTGTGCATTTTGACGACAATGGAGAATTAGTGGCTGGTTTTGACATCACAAACTGGGTGATGTTCCCCAATGGCTCAGTGGTTAGAGTCAAAGTTGGGAGACTAGAACCGCAGGCTCCTCCAGGCAAAGAGTTAACCATTCATGAAGACCAAATTATATGGCATCCAGTTTTTAATCAGGTGAGTTACAGCTGGAAATACCTGATTATATTAAAAGAGAATCAACAATACTTTTCAGTCTCCCATTTCAGCCTGAGCTGGAAAAAGAATATTATGGTTTGTAAAGCTTGATTTATCTTCAAAGGAGGCTGTGTCAAGCCCTTCAAGTTCCTTTCCAAACTCATCTTGCCTCCTTTTTCAAAATCACATCTGGACTCTCCAATGCCATCAGTCACTTTCAACAGCCCACTATTTTCAGAACAGTTCTTTCCAAGACACTCAGACACTTTCCGTTGTTTAACCCTCACATGGCTGGAATAATTTTATTGTTATAGTGAAGATGAGCCTATTGGCACCAGTCCTCCATTGTGCTCTCGTTGGCTTTCTGTGGCATCCTCCATATTTGGGTGGCTCGGTGCCTGCAGCAGGGGCCCTTCTCTATTCCTGCAGCCTTCCAAATCTATCAACATGGCCAACATAAGCAGAAATTCAGCAGAGAAGACCCCTAGCTGCATACACTAAGCCCCCAACAAGTGGGAGGTTGCAGAAAGGGCTTGCAAGGGTACGGCAGGAGGAAAGCGAAGAGCACTCAATCTCTTATTGCTTATGCCATTAAGGTGCTGCCTGTTTCTGTGTGCAATGACCACTGCTATCCTGGCTACAGCAGGAAAAAGAGGGAAGGAGAGAAATTTTGCTGCTATGATTGTGCTCCATGTGCAGAAGGGATGGTATCTAGCCAGAAAGGTAAGGGGCACGACGCCAAGAAATTTCCATAGCAAGCATATTTATTAGATTTGTTTGGAGAACGTCTATCCCACAAATGTTTATTAGGACAGTTTGCAAAACAGAATTCTTTAGATCTTTGGGTGAAAGGGAGCCCATCAATGTAATATTAACTTAAAGTAAATACATAAAAGATGAAGGGATAATAAAATCAGGAATTTAATAGCCAAAATGCCTGTCTGAATAAAAAAGAGGAAAGTGGCTTCCTGGGCCAGGGAATGACATAAACACTGCAAAGGCCCTTTCTGAAGCCATAGGACCTATTCAATACAGTGGTACCTCAGGTTAAGTACTTAATTCGTTCTGGAGGTCCGTTCTTAACCTGAAACTGTTCTTAACCTGAAGCACCACTTTAGCTAATGGGGCCTCCTGCTGCTGCCGCGCCGCCAGAGCACGATTTCTGTTCTCATCCTGAAGCAAAGTTCTTAACCTGAAGCACTATTTCTGGGTTAGCGGAGTCTGTAACCTGAAGCGTATGTAACCTGAAGCGTATGTAACCGGAGGTACAACTGTATCTGGTACCTGGCATATAAGATACAATATAAGACAACCAAGACTGTTTGGGATACATATCAGTTGACTTCCCGAAATTTTTAATGCTGATTCATTCATTTTTTCCAGATATGGATGCCTGTATCAAATGCCCAGAAGATGAATATCCCAACAAATACCAAACTCAATGCATTCTCAAGGTTTTAAGTTACCTCTCTTACAAAGAAAATTTAGGGGTCGTCTTAATTGTCTTGGCCATGTTTTTCTCTTTGGTCACAGTTCTGGTACTTGGAACCTTTGTGAAGCACAACAATACTCCCATCGTCAAAGCCAACAACCGGACCCTCACCTACATCCTCCTCCTCTCCCTCCTCCTTTGTTTCCTCTGCTCTTTTCTCTTCATTGGACAGCCTGAAAAGATTCTTTGCCTTCTGCGACAGATTACTTTCGGCATTGTCTTTGCTGTCGCCCTGTCCTCTGTCTTGGCAAAGACCATCACTGTGGTACTGGCATTCGTGGCCACCAAACCAGGATCCAGCATGAGAAAATGGGTGGGGAAAGGGCTGGCAAACGCTATTGTCTTTTCCTGCTCCTTTATCCAAGCGGCAATTTGCATTTTTTGGTTAACTACTTCCCCACCATTCCCAGACAGGAACATGTCCTCGCTGAATGGGGAAATCATACTGGAATGTAATGAGGGATCAGCTGTCATGTTTTATTGTGTCTTAGCCTATATGGGCTTCCTGGCCATTGTCAGTTTCTTTGTGGCTTTTCTAGCCAGAAAATTACCTGACAGTTTCAACGAAGCCAAATTTATCACTTTCAGCATGCTAGTGTTTTGCAGTGTTTGGTTGTCCTTTGTTCCAACCTACCTGAGCACCAAAGGTAAATACATGGTGGCCGTGGAGATCTTCTCCATTTTATGCTCCAGTGCTGGATTACTGGGTTGCATCTTTTCTCCCAAATGTTATATTATTGTTTGGAGGCCTGAGCTGAACAACAGGGAGCAACTAATGAGTAGAAATAGAGAAAGGAAGGAAGGAAGATCATCTTCTTAAGTAAATTGCTTCGTAAATGTTGGTGTAAGAGATATGATGAGAATTTGAGCAGGGGCACTTCTTTAATCATAGAACAATCCTGATTTTTTGTGTGATGGGTTGAACTGGATTAATTTCTTTTTATATATAAATTTTATTTTCTATTTTACTTTAACAAATTAATTAAATACGTAAACATATAATCCCTTTTGACTTCCCTTCCCCCCACTGTGGATCTTAATGTAATGACTCCCCCTTCTACATCTCTTTCATAACTCTATTTTTATAAATCCTTTTTCAATCCATAGTTGGATTGAACAATATCCATTCCTTTAACCAGCAAAGACAAGACACCTCAAAATATAATTTCAAATCTGATAAGGAGAATCCACCTCTCTCTTCGGCATCAGTCAATAATTTATACTTTGTTCTTGGTTTCTTCCCCTGCCATATAAACCTAGTGATATCTTTTTGCCATTCTTTAAAGCATCTTGTATTTTTGATTGACAGAACAATTTTATGGGGTTAAAATTGGTCTCAGCTTTATTGATTACATATGCAGGTTGGCCTGTGTGCACCTCTCACAATTTTTGAGGTCAGAAACCTCTGCCAGGATAAAGTCAATGCTTTTTCTGTTGACCAAGTCATTCTCTTCATCTCTCGCTCAACTTATGGGATAAAGGCATTCCAGCGCATGTCCCACTGGCCCATCCAGGTGATGCCTGCTCTGTCTTACAGACCTAGCTGCAGACCCAATGTCATAGATGCAGCATGAGGATGAGCACAGGGCAAAATCCTGTGTCCAAATCGCCAGGTGTGTCTGCAATTGATAGATGAAATGAAAACCATTACACAGAGAAGATAAAGTCAGAGATTCTGGGTCTTAGGGGGCATTTCTGGGTGCACGAGCACCAGTGGGAAATAAATATTGAACACTTGTTTTGAAGTCCCACTTGGAAATGTGACAAATTCATTTTCTGAAGCAAGCTGGATGTTGCTATGTATCTTCACGTGAATGATGATTGAAAGGATTAAAAATGTTCATACTGTTCTGCCATGTTATACAGGATTTTTCAGCAACATTCTGTGATCAGCAGCCTTCCTTGATTACATATAAATAGATATATGTATAATATAGTTTTCAAATAAATATATAAAGTATAGACTCGGCAGAAGTTACATGTTTCACACTGACCATCTCTCTCCATGAAGGGATACACCTTTAGCACCCTACTATATTAAACTGATTTCCTCACTAAAATTTAAACCATGTGCATCACAGTTATCTTTAGGACTGCTTCATAAAATAACGCTATCTTACGTTATATTGCTGCTATTCATAAGTATAGCGACTGACAGATCAGATGATTTCTGGATTATTCTACAACCATTCATTACACTGAACCATGGTGCTATAGATCCATGACAGCAGCCATCGCTTTCTCAATGCAATGCAAGGCAGGCCAGTCTCCTCAGGATGTCTCTGGGCTATTCACAGATCCAGTTTACAAAGCGTGCACTTATAGTCACAGGTACAAGGTGCAGTGGAGAGTAGTAGGGTAATTGGGGCTCTATTCTGAAAATTCCCATATTTCCTCCCCCAATCTACCTGCAGGACCTCAGCAAATCATGTGGTGGTTCTATTTACTGACTCTGGCTCCACCTCCTGTTGGTCTCCTTGCCTTCTCCTTCCCTAATAGTCCCCACGAGCAGTAGCTGCCACTAACTTGCTGTTTCAAGGGCTGCAAGACAAAAAGTTTCAAAACATGCCAAGAGAAAAGGAATTCAGACTCAACATATTCCTCCTAAATCCCTGCTTGAAAACCTTGCTCTATATTCAAAGCACAAATACGCAAGATACTTGAACTGTGCATCGTTGATTATTGCTGTTTTAATCATCTATTCATTTAATGTTTTAACCACTGTTACATTCCATTGGTTTCATGTCTTATTTTGCATGGTTGTTGTATATAAAGTGCATGGTTAAACTATGGAAGTCACTCCCACAGGGGGCAGGGATGACTACCAGAAGAGATGGCTTTAACAGAGCCCTAGACGAATTCACAGAGGAGAGGACTATTGATGTCTCCTAGCCAGGATGGCTCAGCACTGATGGCACAGTTGGAGGGAGCCATGTTCCTGAATACGAGTTGCTGGAAACCGAAGGAGGGGAAATGGTTGAATCCTGCTTGCAGCTTTCCATTTGGGGCATCTGGGTGGCCCCTGTGAGAACAGGAGGCTGGATGAGATGGGCTATGGGCCTGATCCACTAGGCTCTTCCTGTGTTCTTATGTATTACTTTGTTTAGACTTTGATTATTCTGCAGACCACTTTCAGCACAGATTCACTTGTGAAAAATGCTGTATAGAAATAGCTAATGACAGGAGAAGGATGAAAAAGATGAAAAGGATATGAATTGAGAAATAAAAGGAATTACTTTCTCTGGTTTCTTCCAATAAATGCTAGCAAACAATAAGCATCAACGCAAGCTGATTCCTATTTGCTCCTCAGAATCAAGTGGTCTTTGCTGTTCAAGTCGGGCCTCAGAATAATTATATATAATTTGGGGGCAAAGATACAACCCAGCAAGCCTGCGCTGGAGGCCAAGATGCAAAAGACCTCCACAGCCACCATCTGCTTTCCTTTGGTGCTCAGATAAGAGGGAACAAAGGACAGCCAAACGCTGCAGAACACCAACATGCTGAAGGTGATGAACTTGGCTTCGTTGAAACTGTCCGGCAACCTCTTGGCCAGGAAAGCCATAGTGAAGCTGACCATGGCCAGGAATCCCAGATAACCCAGGACAGAATAAAACATCGCGACAGAACCTTCGTTGCATTCCACAATGATTTCCTCCACCAGAGAGTCCATGTCCACATCTGGGAATGGAGGAGCCGTACAGAGCCAAGCAGCACAAATGCTGGTTTGAACGGAGCAGCAACCAAGAAGAACCGAGTTTGTGAGAGATTTCCCCACCCATTTCCTCATCCTGGATCCTGGTTTGGTGGCCATGAAAGCCAGAACCACCGTGATGGTTTTGGCCAAGACACAAGACACAGCAATGGAGAAGATGATGCCAAAAGCAGCTTGTCGTAAAGAGCAGCTCACTGGGTGAGGCTGGCCAATGAAGAGCAAGGAGCAGAGGAAGCAGAGCAAGAGGGAAGTAAGCAGAGTGTAGGTGAGGTCCCGGTTGTTGGCTTTGACAATGGGAGTGTCCCCATTCCTAGAGAAGACGCCAAGTATCCAAGCTGTGACCAGAGAAAAGCCCAGAGCTAAGGAAGCTAAAAGGACCCCTAAAGGTTCTGCGTAGGAAAGAAAATGTTGGCGTTTGGGGATGCATTGATCTCTGTCCTTGTTTGGAAATTGGTCATCTTGGCAGTGGAAACAATAATCCATATCTGAAACAATGAGTGATATATGAGTTCCAACAAATAAGGCATTAATTAGTTGGTGAAAGTATCAGGGGTACGTGGATATTAACAATAGTTTGTACAATTTTCAGCCACTATGCATAACCCACAATAGGTTCTACATTTTGATGGGCCTAAGGTGCATGGATTGTTCATCTGTCCTTCATCTGAAATTAGTGATCAGAAATATTGACTTTGGTTGTACCCTTAGTGGTACAATGTGCAAAATAGAAGACCAGACTCACTGGAAAGCACCCAGAGAGAGCTTCACGGTGATAGAGAATTCTTCAGAACAGCAACTTTCAGCTTGGAGGCTGAGGACTGTTCTGGGTAAGGAGACCATTTTTGGCTCGCACACCTAAAACTATCCAGTCCTAATGATGTAGCATGTAGGAAGCAGGCAGATTACACTAGACACATTCCACACCCATTTCTACAGATTTCACTTGTAAAAGTTCTGGATCTAGTTTCCCCAACTATCTGTTCTTTCTTCCAGATATCAGTGCAGCTGCTGCTCTCTTTAGGAGTTAAAAGTAAAGAGGTCCAGTCGTGGATGACTCTGGGGTTGTGGCGCTCATCTCGCTTTACTGGCTGAGGGAGCTGAAGTACAGCTTCTGGGTCATGTGGCCAGCAGAACTAAGCCGCTTCTGGCGAACCAGAGTAGCACATGTAAATTCCATTTACCTTCCCGCCGGAGCGGTATCTATTTATCTACTTGCACTTTGACGTGCTTTCAAACTGCTAGGTTGGCAGGAGCAGGGACCGAGCAATGGGAGCTCACCCCATCGCAGGGATTCGAACCGTCAACCTTCTGATCAGCAAGCCCTAGGCTCTGTGGTTTAACCCACAGCGCCACCCGATTCCACACTTTAGGAGTACTGAACTGCTAATAGAAGGAAAGAGTTGAAATATATATTAGGAAGCATTTTACAAATTAGCAGATTATGTCTCTTACCCATTTGATTTGAAATCATTCCATGTGGACACGAAGCACAATCATAGCAACAAAATGGCAATCCCTCCTTCTTTTTTCTGCTGTCGCCTGGCTGGCAGTGATCATTACACAAGGCAAGGGGCAGCACCTAGCCATAAAAAGAGGTGAAAATGTAGCTCTTATGCCTTGTAAACAACACAGTTTTATGTAGCTCTTATGCCTTGTAAACAACAAAGAGAAGAGATCAGCTGACTGATTAACATTATTCCAGAAAGGTGTGTTGTATGTGTAAATAAACTGTAATGTAAATATTGGGAGTGAATGAGAAGGGATACTGAATTTTTAATCTGCATAAAGATGGAGGAGTGAGAGAGGACAGGGAAGACAACAGACTTTGAAATACAGGGAGTTAATGAAGAAGGTAAAATAAGAAGCACATACATTAGGCTCAGAGAAGCACCACAAGACAATCAATCTTCTTTCAAAACAAATGGGCAATTTATCCTCTCCTTGTCTTCTGAGCTGGAAATCTCACTTGGTTCAGCATGATTTACTCCTACATTCATGCGCAAAGCATTAAAATGTTATACTGAAATCCTATATATCAGCAATGTGGAACCTTTGCTCCACCAGATGTTATTGGACTGCAACTCCCCTCAGTCTGAAAACCAGCATGG